ACACTTGGAAGACCTCAAAAATAGATAAGCCAAACAAAGACCCAAAGTGACAATAGAGACAAATGTAATAATAATAATTAATGAAACAAGAGAGACTAGCCAAAGGGACAGGTTGGAATCGCATTAGTTATTAGCTATAAAGCAGTTAACATCAATCTCGATGTTATGTCCCGAAGATGTAGGGTGCCCAATTCATATACCCACCTTATCTTGGCTCGTGACACAGCCCTAATTTTATTAATACCCCTCCAATGTGCCGAAACTACTTCAATTCCTACAAACTTTAGGAAAGAGGGGTCGTTATAATGAAACAACCTATAATGATTGGAAAGGGAGTGCTCCCTGTAACCTTTCTTTATATTTGCCACGTGCTCACGTAGACTGTCGCGTAAGCGCCTGGTTGTGCGGCCCACGTATTGCTTATGGCAAGGGCATTGGAGAAGGTATACCACAAATTTGCTATGGCATGATCGTTTGATATCATAGGATCTTCTTGTAGCAAATAATTCAAAGGTATCAATTCTACGTTTCCTTCTGTTATTACATCTACATATAAACACACTTGTTACAGGGGTAAAATCCCTTAAGATCATTAAAGAATGAGACACTTGTTGGAGGATCAACTACATTAGGTGCAATCTGATGCCTAATTGCTGAAGCTTTCCGGAAGATAATTTCCAGTTTATTGGGTAGGACTCTAGACAATATGGGATCCATTTTTAGTATATCCCAATTTTTATTAATAATCCTCCCAATTTGTCTAAATTGTGTTGAAAAAGTAGTTATGAAAGGGCAAACCCTTGTTTCCGTCAATTTGGGTTTGCTCAATAACATCTCATTTCTGTTTTGTTGGGCAACTGCCTGTAGAGTGTTCTCCAAAATGTTCTCATTGTACCCTTTCTCCAGAAATCTTTTCTTAAGTGTCTGAGCTTGGGTGTGGTAAGTCTCAACATCTGTACAATTACGCCTAATGCGCATAAACTGACCCTTAGGGATGTTACCCAACCAATTCGGGTGATGACAGCTACTCGTTGGAATATAGCTATTCCTGTTGGTAGCTTTAGTAACAATTCTTCCGTTAAAATTAATAAGAGTGAGGTCTAAAAAATTAATTTCTCATTGACTATATACATAAGTAAGACTAATATTGAAATCATTATTGTTTAAGGTAGTGAAGAAATGAATCAATGATTCTTCTTCACCATTCCATAGGAGGACTAATATTGTTATTTTGGATCAAAGTGCAAAAGTCAGCACAAATATATCCAAGTTACTCGGCACTTTTAAGCATTGTGGTCCAAACTGAAAAATGTTCCCTTTTGTGTTGTACAAAATGCTTCCTGGTTTATGTAATTGCATTGTACTTGAGCCAACAGAAGTATTATAGACTGCCAGGTATATTTCTATAAAGGTTATATTTCCTAAACCCAGTTCCTGTATTGAACCACACATTAGAGCTACAATTTATAATTGATACATTAGTATGAATTGATTTGCAATATAAAGAACATTAAACGCTGTTTAAATTGAGATTCCTTAAGGTTTTCATATTTAATGTATTAATGGCCTACTTTTATTTCATTTCTAAAAGGAGATATGAATATTCTGCCCAACAAGCTGTCATGTTGATAAAAAAAAAGAGATTTGAGAAATTGAACTAAAATATTTAACAGCTATAATTATACAGCATTGGACATATAATTAAATTTTAAAACACAGGCTTAATGTAATATAATTTTCATTATGATAATTTCCCCATATTTATCCTACCTCTAATCTCAAACCACTCAGTACCTCATATAATAAATATTAGTCTGTAGCATGTGTTAAATATGCATGTGCATCATACATCTACCTTTGTCATGAAGAGTAAAATGGAAATGATAACAAGCAGCAAATATTGCAGTGGAGGCATATGCAGACATTTTTTTCTACTGGCTGAAACACTGAGATTGAGTTACTGAAGATGTGGAAACTGTTCACTTAGCAATGTGAATGAAAGGGATGGTGGGTCATAGTTAGGTTATCTTTGTATAGATAGGTCGGATTTTGGACCCTGTTTTTTTCTTTATATGTTTTTGTATAACAAAAACTGTTCTGTCTCTCCAATCTAAGCATTGAAATTGTGACCGCTGTAACTTACAGTTGTGATGAGATAGCGATAACTCCAATCTTAGTTGAATAACACAGGCAGTGACTTGATCGGATGACACCTTGTAGATCTTGTGAAGTTTATTCCATAAACTGAGAGATTCTTACAACAATGAACATCAGTTAGGTCAAAAGATCATAATGTGATCTTCTTCATGACATGAGGCTTGAAGCTGAAATGCCTTACTGGGAAAAGGGGTGAGCTATCTGTATAGCAAGAACTAAACCAGAGGAAAGGGAGGAGCAGAGACAAAATATGAAGAATATTTAAAGGCATATGACAGTCATGTGAAACATGCCAAAACCAAAGAAAACAATACACAGTATTTTTCCAAAAACATTTTAATATATTTTAGTGATAGGGTTTTTATTAGTTACTGAACATTACTACTTGTAGCTGGGAATAGGGCTTGGAAGGCATCAGGATTTTTATACTATAAACTTTTCTCTGTAACATCACAAAACGTAATAGCACCAGAAGTCCATACAAATAGCCAATGTATTAGATATAGGGCTCCAAACATACATGACATAAGCGTATAAACTTGTTTGTGCTGAAGAATGCGCAGGACTGACTGGATCAGTCACTGGCCATAGGTGGGTGGTTGCGTGGATGGGTAGGGAGAAGTCCCTCCAGTCAGTTGTACCCAAAGGTGGATATTGGCGGTAAACCCTCATAGGGTTTGGGCTGCTGCCTTTCTGGTACGGCCTTGAGGTTGTTTCCACCAGGGCTGGACTGACCATTCGAGCACTCGGGCACAGCCCGAGGGCCCGGAGTCAGTAGGGGGGCCCCATGAGATGCCCCTGGTACCTTTCATTGGCTTTTTCATAGGCTTTTTTGGGTGTGGGTGAGGACACAGGGGCCCCATGATCTGTCAGTCCATATGTATACTTGGAATAGTAGAAAAGAAAGAGCATCCAATGTCCAAAATGAATGCACTTTTGATGGTAGATTAGGAGGCATTTATTGAGAGTAGCGACAAGTACATCAAGCCAACACATTTCGGGAGAAAATACTCTCACTTCTTCAGGACTGTTGCTGCATGCTAATAAATGAGGAAAATTCCCACGTCGGATATATATTTTCAGGGTTTTGGAGGAAAAAAATGACAGTGACTACTGTCATTCCAGAGGCAGCAATGAGCATAGGTGTATAAACTGGTAGAGGTGGCTCTCTAATTAGACAAATTAGGTGGTCACCTAAGGCCCTGCACTCACAGGGGCCACATGGTCGCCTAATTTGCCAAACGCAGCTGGCTTGAAAGTGAAGCAGCAGCTCCATAGCTGCCAATCACTTTCACAGAGCTGGCAGCACAGTGCCCCTCCCCCCTTCTGACGGTGCTCCCCATCTTCTCCCGTGGTTCCCAAGATCTCTGCTCTTACCGAAGCCCAGAAACACTATCACCATCTATGGGAGGGAGAGTGATGTGAGATCAAGGCAAATCCATGCCTCGATCTCACATGCAAGCAGTGACACCGAAAGTGATGTAACATCCAGTTTCAGATGCACCCTTTCCTGGCCAGTACAGCAAGGGGACACAAATCTAACCAAGCCGATCTGTGCTTGGTTAGATGACGGCGTGAAGGGCAGGGGAGACATGTAGGTATATTAGACCCCTAATGTGTCCATAAAGAGCACTTGCCACTTGCCCAGTGCTATCACATAACCGTTTATTAACCCCTTGTGATAGCAATCAAGTAAAAATAAATGTATGTAAAAAAAGGAAAAAGATTTAAATATTAAAATAATAAAATATATTAAAATAAAAAAAAAATTCCAGAACCCCAGTTGCCCCACACAACTGAGCAATTGCAAATGCAAGTCCAGGGTGTGCACGTGTATGTAAACCACGGTAGCACTACACGTTTGTCATATCGCTATGAACATTAAAGTGAGAACAATAATTCTAGCACAAGAGCTTCAAGTTAACTCTAAACTTATGAGCTGTAAAGGCTTTTAAAGAGTCATCTATGATGATTTTTGGGCAACATAGTTTTTGACAATATTGCGGGTGCGCGCAATTTTAAGACATGGGATGTTTGATATCTGTTTACTCAATGCAAGCTCATCTTTTAAATTTTAACCAAAAATGGATATTCTATTGTGTGTTTTTTGCACTAAAATTAATTTTATTATATTTTTCCTGAAAATTTGCTTTTAATAAACAATTGCACAAATATCATGTGACATACAAATGTGCAAATGTCATCTTTTTATTCTACAGGTGTTGTGCTTTTGGAAAATATGTAATGTTCTGGGGGTTTAAGTGATTGTATTGCCAAAAACTGAGATTTGTACAGTACATGTATATTGGCAAAGTATTGGGACACCCTTCGGAATCATTGGATTCAGGTGTTCCAGTCACCTTCATTGCTGGTGTATAAAATTAAGCACCTACGCATGCAGACTGCTTCTACAAACATTTGTGAAAGAATGGGTTGCTCTCGGGCGCTCAGTGAATTCAAGCGTGGTACTGTGATAGGTTGCCACCTGTGCAATAAGTCCATCCGTGAAATTTCCTTGCTACTAAATATACCATGGTCAACTGTTAGTGGTATTATAACTAAGTGGAAGCAACTGGGAACAACAGCAACTCAGCCATGAAGTGGAGGGCCACGTAAAATGACAGTGCGGGGTCAGTGCATGCTAAAGTGCACAGTACGCAGAAGTTGCCAACTCTCTGTAGAGTCAATATCTAAAGACCTCCAAACTTCACGTGGCCTTCAAATTAGCACCATAACAGTGCATAGAGAGATTCATGGAATGGGTTTCCATGGCCGAGCAGCTGCATCCAAGCCTGACATCACCAAGTGCAATACAAAGCGTCGGATGAAGTGGTGTAAAGCACGCCACCACTGGACTCTAGAGCAGTGAAGACGTGTTCTCTGGAGTGCCAAATCACACTTGTCTGTCTGGCAATCCGATGGGCGTGTCTGGGTTTGGCAGTTGCCAGAGAATGGTATTTTCCAGACTGCATTTTGCCAAGTGTGAAGTTTTGTGGAGGGGGACTATGGTGTGGGGTTGTTTTTTTTAGGGGTGGGTTTGCCCCCTTAGTTCCAGTGATGGGAACTCTTAAGGCGTCAGCATACCAAGACATTTTGTTCCCAACTTTGTGGGGACAGTTTGGGGATGGCCCATTCCTGTTCCAACATGGCTGCACACCAGTGCACAAAACAAGGTCCATAAAGACATGGGTAAGCAAGTTTTGGGTGGAGGAACTTGACTGGCCTGCACAGAGTCCTGACCTCAACCCAATAGAACACCTTTGGGATGAATTAGAGCGGATGCTGCGAGCCAGGCATTCTCATCTGACATCAGTGCCTGACCTCACAAATACACTTCTGGAAGAATGGTCAAACATTCCCAAAGACATTCTCCTAAACCTAGTCTGTGCTCAGGCAGCGTTAAGAGCCCTATCTCACTTAAGCAGGCCTCGCAGTGGCCAAACAGCTGTTTTGCAGCGTGACTTTATTTTAGAGGTGACAGGACACCTTAACGCTGCTGTGCGCAGGCAGCCTTGTCACACTCACCTCTTGCGCAACCTAAGACTTCTGGAGCTCTCCCTGCCAGTCAATGAGGAGTGATGTTGAGTCCGCGCACCTCACCCCTCCCATCCACTGCATGAGGATCTCAATCTGGGAAGGCCTACTATGTAGGACAGACAGATGGGCATTAGTGGGGCCTCATGTTTAAGTTTGCCTAAGGCCTCACAAAGCCTAGAGCCGCCTCTGTAAACTGGTACATGGAAATATCTGTAAATAACATGGAGAGGTACAAATATTTCAGGAGATAAACAGAGAATAAAGATTTGTGCTTTTTTGCTTAACATGGCTATAGTATAACAATAGACAAAAAAAGTCCATACGATTATAAAAATATTTCTGAAAAAATATTTCAGAAAAAAAAAGTTCTGTTTAGGTTTGGCTACACTTATAATCATAAATATGTGTGTTAGTAATTATTTTGCATAATTTACCTTTAGTCACTTTTTTCAGTTTAGGTATAATGGCCCTTTATTTCTGTATTTTCTTTATTAAATGTAGATAGATTTATGAAATTAGGCTTAAAAATGCATTCCATATTGTTTATTTTGTTCATAGCAGATAACGGAAAATCAAAAACCATTAAGGGACAGGTAAAATGTTAACAGTATGTCAGGTTATACTCTGTGACTCATTATATTCAACTGTGTTTGACATACTTCAGCTAATTATAAACCAAAATCTTTGCTTTTACGCAATGTATGGAGATGAGATGCAAAAGATTCACAGAGCACTATTTCTTTTAGGTAGAATTCATCCTGATTAATTGCTCCTTTTCATCTCTAAAGCTGTAACCATGACATATACAAAACAAGACTAATGGTTTCAGAAATCCTCAGACGGTATCTAATAATCAAAACATACTCAGTTAAAATGAAAATAATATCCTTGTTTAAGCAGGTTTGCAGTGGGAAGATATTTTCTTCCTGTTAAAAGCCTTTTGTTTGATCTACATTTTATACTTACTATAAACTGGATCTTATGTACACATATGGGATTCAGTGTCTGGAATGCTAAGCACTTTGAGTACTGGTTTTGAGAGCAAGGTTTTTTCCCTTAAAATACAGAAAAGCATTGATAACTTGTAATGGACAATAACTTTGTTAAATTCACTGTTTCAATCAACAAATAATTAATCGAAAAACTATAAGAGAACTAGTGTGCTGCCACAAGTGAATCCTAAAATAGAAATACAAATAAAGAGGCTACTGCCAACACAAAAGTGTTCCCAGCATTAAATAAACAAATACATGTAAATGTGTAGCTCCACCCTAATACTAACAGAAATTGCCAAACAATGTAAATCACATCAATAATGCTCTATAATCTAACTATAAGTCAATCAAAAGAGCATATAAACTATCCCCAAAAAATTATATATATATATATATATATATATATATATATATATATATATATATATATATATATATATATATATATATATACACAGTATATGTATACTGTATATGTGATAAATACAATAATTGATTAATATATCAAGTAACAATTCATCCATCCACCCAAACAAAATAAATACAAATAAACAATGATTAATTTATAAAGTGCAGTCCATATCCATAATCCATAATCACACTTTTCGTTCTTCATTACACACACAAGTACAAAAAGTGTGATATGGATTATGGATATGGACTGCACTTTATAAATTAACCATTAATCAATTATTGTATTTGTCACTCATTTTTATAGAAATATATTTTTTTTTGGTGGATACGTGCTGTTTTGACTTATAGTTGATTATAGAGCATTATTTATGTGATGTACATTGTTTGGTAATTTCTGTTAGTATTAGGGGCAGCGATACACATTTACATTTATTTATAAGAAAGTAATAGACGTGCATGCCAGAAATTTGTGTTTCGATTCAGGGGTGGAATGACAACTCATGGGGCCCCCGGGCAATAGGGGATCATGTGGCCCCTGTGCCTTTGCCCAAACTCAAAAAAGCCTATGAAAAAGGTACCAGGGGCATCTCATGGGGCTCCCTACTGCCCTCGGTCAGAGCCCGAGTTTCCAAATGGTTAGTCCGCCCCTGTTTTTATTGCATTTCAGGTGCATTTGTTCATTAAACAATTTTGTTTCATCATATTAGTTATGTTGTCCTGATTCTTTTTCAGAATTCGTTTTGTATCTTCAACATTCATTTCATATATTCGTTGGTCTAGGTGGATTCAAAGAGTGTTGCAGCTTTTCTGGAAGATTGCTATATATTCGATATATTATTGAATGGGACAGAGTTAAACTGGCAGAATTCAATATTTTTGGATGCTAGTTGAACCCACCCCAAGAGAAAGGACATGAGCTGCTTGGACAATATCGACTGGCATCATGTGTACCCGTATAATGAACCAAAAGAGAAAAAAAAGGGGGCCAAATTGTGGACTTTAAAGGCACTGCAACAAAAATTAATTAAAATCACTTCATTATTTGAATGTAGACTATTACATAACAATGCATAAAGGTTTTTCCGGTAAGAATGCAAGACCCTCATGAAGGGTGGGGCATTCTATGCAGATTACAAAACTCATCAATTCATATAATAGTTTAAAATTGATACAGATATACCGTGTCCCGGTAAGGGTATCAAAAGACATAGATCAGATATCAGTAATTGTAGTTACTCGACATGTTTCGCGAGAGTATCGCTTCTTCAGGAGTTACTACATGAAAGAAAGTTGGATGTAAGTATAACATAATATCACATATTGTAATGTTGTTACTTATTCATTATACAAATCTGTAAATACCTTGAGGTATTGGCTACAAAGCAGGAAACGTGTGGGGAGGGATTGTTGTTGGTAGCGCATGGAGCAACCACATGTCAGGCAAGTCAGCAGGGGGATTCCACAAGGATAATGCACAACTGAGTAGTCCTAAAAGGGGTCTCCTGATCTATAAAAGGTATATAAACAGTAAAGCTGGTACAAACCTTCCTGAATATAGATAACAGTTGTAATAATGGTAAAGAATGTTATGCTAACCTTCCATTAATGGAGACTACAAAAGTAATGTTGTCATTGGTTTTAGAGCCAGAGTGGCCACTTAAAAAAAATATTCAATGAAGTGAACAGTATAGAAGAGGTGTACTAAAGCCTCAAAGAAGTCCACTCAACCGCAATGGTTACTAGGCAACATTTGCAATACCTGAAAGGATTAAAAGAAAGGGGGGGGGAAATTGCGGAGGGTATCAGACACGTTACCATTGTATTAAAGCCAGTATATAGACCACTTCAGTATTTAGTGATTGGAACTAAATGACAGAGTACTAACCTTATTAGGGTACAAACAGGGGAGGAGCAACAGGGAGGTAAGGCCGGTGTGATAAAGTTCATCAATCTCTCAGAATAGGGATCAGGTCAGGCATATGGGGTAGTCTAGTCAGCTCATATCTGTAAATAAAGGAGCCACAGAGGTTCAAAACTGTTTAAAGGGTGACTCAGAAGGGCAATATATAAAGAATTAGTGTATACCTTGTCATACCTAAAACAGAAGATGAAGCACCCAGCCAGTTCCACCTAAAACTCCTCTTATTGTGGGGCCCAAACCGGGCTAACTTCTGGGCCAAGCTGCTCTGGTTGCTTGGACTGCCTGGGATAGTAAGGGGGTGTAATGTTGGAGCCAAACGCTCTCCTTCCCGCTGTGTAAGCTGCAGGACCGTGTAGGACCGAGAGAGGTGGCTCCTTCTTATGGGATCCCAGTTTAGGATGGCAACAGCGCCATTGTGCATCGTGTGACATCACCACGCTCGGACAGAATTTGCCGCGCATGCGCACAACAGCACGCACCCACCACTGAAGGGGGACGGGGTCGTCCACCGCAGTTGCACCCGAATTAAACCCTTGACACCGACCACACGCAAATTAGCAGCATCACAGAACTGGGCTTTTTTCCATGGGGCTGCTCATTTACGTACCTGTCTTTCTACTGGGAGCGCTCAACATGGCGAGCTCCCAGCAGAAAGACCGGGGTGTCACTAAGAGCTCCGGGTCCTGTTCTAATGATCGGGACCTGGAACTCACAATTCCTGGTCACTTTATCGCTGTGATAGTCTCTGATTGGCTGTCACAGTGATCAGTCACTGTGAAGCCTGCCCCCTTGTTTTCCCTCTCTGAATGGAGGAGAGAGATACAATGTATCTCTCTCTGTCCTTTAAGAGAGAGAAAACAAACAAACAAGTGTGTGTAAAAAAATAAAATAAATAAATACATAAAAATAACAAAATAAACAAAAATACCTAGATCAAGGTTTGATCTAGGTCTGTGCCAGGATAAGTGTTTTGGTCAAGGTCAGGGTCAAAGGTCAAGGTCAAGGTCAGGGTCAGTTTTTCTTTTAGGGGGCTCAGGTTTTTTTTTTAATTTGTAAATTAGTATCAGTGTCAGTTAGTGGCAGAATAAAAAAAATTAAAAAATCAAATTGCACACTATG